TTTTTTTTTTTTTTAACATATAATGTATTATTCATTTCAGAGATACAGGTCTGTGATTCATCAGTCTTACACAATTCACAGTGCTCACCGTAGCACATACCCTCCCCAATGTCTGTCATCCAGCCACCCCATCCTGCCTACTAATCCTCAGTTTGTTTCCTCAGAATATATCCCAAGAAAATGACATTATATCAGAGAGACAGCTGCACCCACATGATCATGGCAGTGTTATTTAAAATAGTCAAGATATGGAAACAACTTAGGTGTCCAATTACACAGCAATGAATTAAGAAATTAGTGTGTGTGTGTGTGTGTGTGTGTGTGTGTATACAAAATAGACTACTATGTACCATAAAAGAGAAGGAAGTCCTGCCAATTGTGACGACATGGAATGACCTTGAAGACAAGATGCTAAGTGAAGTCAGTCAGACAAATAGCGTATGATCTCACCTATATGTGGAACCTAAAACAACACCTCAGAGGAAAGGACATCCAACTAGTGGTTACCATAGGTAGGGGGAATTGGAGGAAGGTGGTCAAAAGGTACAAAGTTGAGTTGTAAGACAAGTAAGTACCAGGAATTTAATGTCCAGCATGAGGACCGTAGTCAACGCTGCTGTATGGAACATATCAACGTTGTTAGTAGTAAATCCTAAGAGTTCTCATCACAAAGGAAAGATGGATGTTAATTACAGTCAAGGAACCATTTGACAGCATACGTAAATCAAATTGTGCTGTGCACTGGACATTCCGTGGTGCTACATCTCACTCCTAGCTCCATAAAACTGGGAAGCGGTAAAGAAATTGTTAATAAGAGTGGTACCCATTCACATTTTAAAGGGAAAAATAAGAACTCACCGCAGAAGGGATCCTGTCTCACCCTGAGCTAATCCAGGACCCTATAGATCTCGACGAAGTAATAACCAGCGACTGCCTTCCCCTGGCTAGCTCAGAAGGAAATCCCCTGTCTGATGTGTTAAGCCCTCTTCTCTCTCTCAGGGGGGCATTAGCCGAGTACCCGTGCACGTCTGACTCAAATTGGACTGTTTCCTCCCTCAGGAGCATTCATCCCTCGGTGCAATGAGGAGGGCTATTACAAAGCCACGCAGTGCCACGGCAGCACCGGGCAGTGCTGGTGTGTGGATAAGTACGGCAACGAGCTGGCCGGCTCCAGGAAACAGGGCACCGTGAGCTGTGGTGAGTAGGGCCCTCTGTGTCAGCCCCACAATGACCTCTGTTGACCGGCAGGTCTTGACCGTATAAAGATCTGGGCGGAAGAATCTCGAGACATATCTGTGGTCTACAGTGAACAGGTTTACAGTGGGGACGCATTAACCCTGAAATCACATGAGATTAGGCATAGCTAGCTTTATGAGTGGCAGGAACTCACCGTGACCAGGGGATTGGATGACAGTTTTTGACAGAGAGCGACTTTGATAAACCTCCCAAGGTTCCACCCAAGAAGGCAGAAGCATCTCCCAGACCTCCGGGGTTCACAAAGCTTGCAGCCTGTGCCATGTTGACTCACCCCATCCAGGCAGAGACGCTCCCATATTCAGAGAGTAAATTGCCTGCCTTCTGCCTACACTTAAGTCACATGCAGAGGAACCACTCCGATGGTCCAGAGGTATGAGCAGCAGCTAACCTCCCGTCTTTTCTTCCTCCTTCTTCTTTCAGAAGAGGAGCAGGAGACTTCAGGGGATTTTGGCAGTGGTGGCGCTGTGGTCCTGCTGGATGACCTAGACGACGAGCGGGAGCTGGGGCCAAAGGACACGCTGGGGCGGCTGAGGGTGCGCACCCGGGCAGTGACAGAAGATGATGAGGATGGGGACGACGACAAGGAGGACGAGGCGGGCTACACCTGGTAGTTAGTCCCCACGAGGAAGAGGACACGCGGTCTGCACGGAATTGCAAGTCACTTCCTACTCCTGCATTTGTATCTAAGACTCCACGGCACCAAGGCCTGTTCTCCACTGTTGCTCTCTGTACGTGACCCGAGGTTTGGAAGACCGCTCCTTGTCCCCAGAGCATTCTGGTCTTGCATACAGTTGTGTGGGAAGAAGGGTGTGGTGTTTTGTTCTTTGAGACAGGGGAGCGGCCGACTCAATTAAAGCCTCCTTCCCTCCCGTGAGGTTTTTGCAACGAGCATGCGATGTACGTGGGATTCTGACTGTGCAGGGAGCCCCCACCTTGTAAACGTCCAAGATGCTTTTCGATTACCCACACCAGTGGTCATTCCAGCATGGTTCCCGGCCTTATGGTGTCTAAGTGCTTTTCTTGTGTCCTGTAGATGTCGTGGAAAACACACCACACTGTACTTCCTTCTGCCCTATCCCCACCACCCCTCGTGTTAATAATTAAAAATTAGTTTTTCATATCACTATCTGGCTTCCTACAAACAACAGCCTTAATTCAGTCAAGAGTTCCTCTGGGGAACTGATTTTCTTTATTAACAAGGGTGTCTGGATGCTTCTCTGTACATGCATAAAGATGTCTGTGTGTACAGAGTAGACTGTGTGTACAAGACCACACACATACCACTCAGAAAAAGCGCTGCAGGATCTTCTAGAAACTCATTTGAAAAACAGTTATAAATTTGAAAAACTGTGTCCAGACCTGGATCACAATTTCTGGAATAAGAAATCTGTATCAGAAGTCCTTTCTTTGCACTAAGAGTTAGCACTTGTAGCCTGCATGCTGAGGGGGTTCCTTTCCCTATGCATTAGGAGAGTCACCGGAAGCCCTTTGATTTGGCTAAGCCTCTGTCCGCCTAAATCACTTTCCTTGCAGAAGCCATGAGACTCCCACATGGGCAACTTCACAAGCCATCTTTTTCATTTCGGCTCAAAGCATTTCCGCCCCACCCTCCCACCCCCAGGGCTGCAGCAATCCTGTCTGTCACAGGTTCTTAATTTCCCTGCCGACACAAGGGCTTTTCCTAAGGCATGGATACACATCCCCTGCTCCCTGAGATGACAATACCAGTGTTCCTTAGCAGAAGAAAATTCAGGATTCTTAATCTCATATTTTGCTTTTGCCCCATTTCTATCCACAAATCATAGCAAGGGTACACAAGCTGTACATATTTTATACCACTCATCGTTTATTAAAAAAAAAAAAAAATCCCAAAGGGAGCCTAAAAAGAACTTCATCATAGCACCTAAAAGCTAGGGTTGGATTTCTAAGAGCTACTCCTTCCCCCATCCCCACACCTGCACCAGTGTCAGGATGCTAACCAGTGTTTCTTTTCCCTAAGTAAGCTCATGATTACAGTCTGTCTCTGAATTTGGTAGGGTCAGCCTCTCTGTTGTTTTAAGGATTTCTGTCCCTATCAAGCTGGCTCAGATATAAGCACCAAAGAGTAGTCTTCAGAGTGGCCCCATTTAGTTCAGTACTTCAGACCCTTAAGCTCCTGTCCTACCTGGTTTCCAATTACCTGGTGACCCTCATCAGCCCCCCAGCAAGGCTCTGTGGCCCACATTGGTTTATCTTCCTTTCCTCCTGAGCTCCAGCCCGTCCACAAGACAACCACATAAACTCAGGCAAAAAAATACACTCAGCCAAACCATGGTCGTAGCAGCAGCTGACCAGCACCTACCCTCTCAAATTGACCATATCTTTGTATTTTACCAAGCTGCCTTCAAACCAGCATTTTGCAATCCTAGCATTGGCCATGGTGGCATTATTCCTAGACTTAGTCTCAGATGGGAAATGAACATACGTGATACAATCAACTTCTTTGTCCTGACAGACACGGGTACCACCAGGACCCCAGGTAGAGAGAGAACAGAGGCAAGCTCTGTATTGGGATGTCAACTCCATCACCTCTCTTTCAATTGTTTTTCCCCACTTGAACCAAACACTGAGATGGTAATTTAGAAAACAGGTGCTTAATTGCAGCTAAATTATAACCGAGTATATAAAAGAATCAAGACATATTAAAAATTTTCAGTTTAGACCATCAAAGAAAACCATCGTTACTGTCTCCTCTGAGCTTGGAAAAATGCACAAGAGAAGAAATTAAAAGCGACAAATTGATTTCACTTAGAAAAACTTCTAGGAACAGAGAACCACTGATTCTAATTTGCCTAATTATCTTATGACAAGTGTCAAATTAAGATGACACTTAAAGATTCTTAGCATTAACTTAATGGTGGAGAAGAGTGGGCTCAGCAGTCAGTTCCCAGTAAGGTAACGAGATGCTCATTTTCAAAGATATTCCAGGAAGATGTTTTGAATCATTAAAATAGTAAATAAAAAGCCCGCCTAAGACTGGTACCCCAAATCAATGGAACAACATTAACACCACTTTTCATGCCTCACTTTGGCATGACAGCATTAGATTTTTAAAGGGCTTTACTACTTTTCACAAGTACGAAAGATTCGATTTTCTAGTTACCTTATCCTTAGAATTTGTGATTTCCTCTTTTTGGGCAGGAGTTCTTTTGCTAGCGACTAACTATACATAAAAATCTTGATTAAACAAAAATAATACCGTGATAATCCATCCCCATTTTTGAGACAGGTATTGAACTGAATCCTCACTCACTCATGTCTGGAAACTCTCTAGTACTAAATAGCTTTATTCTTATTCCACACATGGTTCTTTAATACTGTTTCCTCAGCATCCACCTTAAATCCCAGAATTTTCTCCCACCATGGTTAGTTGTCTGCCATATTAATGTCTTTTTGTTTCCATAGATATTCTAGGCATGGGAATACCTTACTACTCAATCTGAGATTTTGTTATCAGGTTCCCCTTTATGCCCATTCCCCCAGGCCCAGCAGTGAATGACTATGTGTCTGTCCAGGTCTGCCCCTCTACTTTTCCCAGAATGCCAGTCACACTTCTTTCCCCCCCCCCACACCACCTTGACCACATTGTACAGTAACATCTAAGAGCCCTTTCTACAGTGGGTGGTTTTGGTCTTTTTATACCTTTTTCTCAAAGTCACTGATGTTTGTCCCTGTTCAATGTGTAGCATTGTAATGAGAGCCCACCAAATCCTCAGTGTCATTTTGTTGTCCCTATTGTAGATGAAGTAGTGATGTAGAAAAATCTAGTAAATTCTGAATGCTTTTCCATGTAGACTTCTCTGGAATGTGAACACGACTCTTTGGTTAATAGTAAATGCTTAACTGTAGTCCTGAGTAGGTGCATTTCTGTCTGTCTCAATAAATTTTGATTTGTCTGCAACACCTGAGTGTTGGTATTTTCTTAGCCTGCATGTCATCTCACCACGCCATGTCCACACTCAAACTCTGGAGAACAAACAGCATGGGCAGGCAGAGGGGACTGCCAGTACGAACCCCTCCTTCAAGGCTCCTGTACATGGCAAAGGAGGTAGACCAGCTGGTGGTCCACCCTGTCTTGGCCCCTCTCAACACACCCTGTGCCCACGCAGTCTAGAACCACATCACCTAACCCTTGTGTTTGCTGCTTTCACCTCTTTGAGGCTTCCACTTTGTTACTTCGTGTTTACCTACCAGATTTCTGTGTTGTCATCCTGTTGACAACCTTAAGCTTTTCCAGTTCTTCCTATTCTTTCCCTCCCATTAGTTATTCTCCAACTCTCCTAAAAAAAAAGAAAAAGAAAGAAAGAAAGAAGTTCTCCTTTACAGGGGATTCTGAATTTTCCAGAGGCTTGTCAAACATCAGAAAGCCCCCAAATTGGAAAAGGAAGTATTTCCTTTCCAGCTTTAGCCACATTCAGGCCAGTGTGCCTATGACTTAATTATACCCTGAGTGAGTCATTTCACCAGAAGCTGAGGCAGACACCTTCTTATGAATAATTCTGTTCCTTTACCCCATGGAATAGATTTTACAGACAATTTGTAGATTGACAGTTCAGGGAAAGGTGCTTCACAAGTCCACGAAATAACTAATGTCAGGAGAACAATGACCAATATGAAGCCTCCAGGATCCATTAAAGGAAAGTTGGCATTTGTGGATACTCTCCAAATTCATCTCAAATCAGCACCGTTGTGCAGGTCAACTATCACACTTCTCCTCCAGCTGTGACTTCACAGATGCCACGGGGGTTCGTTTCAAGGTCCAGGACCAAACAAAGGCAAACCTGAAGCCAGGGTTCCAGCTTTGGTAATACAGTGTAAGCAAAAAGGTCACTGCACCTTCTCACAATGCTCACTCATTTTAAGATGTGCTTGGGCAAACTGATTCAAGGAAAGAGGAAGATTTTAAAATGTATTCACTCCACGAGCCTTTATAGATTTATTAGCAGATTTATAGATGAGTACGTGTTGGATTGATGAATGCCACTATGGACAGGCACCACATTAAGTTCTAGGAATATGAATGTGAATAAAACATGGTTGCTGCTCTGTAAAGTTACCTCCTTGATAACTTCGCTGGCCCACTTCTCTGACTTTACCTGCTTTCTCTGGACAGTATTATGTATGCCACTGGTTTCAACCATCTCCTCTTCTCTGAGAAGCCCCCAATCTATAGCCTGAGTGTACATTTTGACTCCCACTCCATTTCTGAGGCATCACCTGCTATTTACATAATTCTACCTGAATTTCCCACTAATAACTCAATTTCGAAGCTTAAAAAATGAAAATGATAAAACGAAACCTACCGTGAATATGCCTACGGCAGCACGAGTCAGCATGGCTGTTCTAACAAACATGAGCCATAAAGGAAAGTACTGGTAATTTTTTCCATCAAAATTAATAACATCATAAACAAACTGAGAAGATAAACAAGACACCAAAGAACATATTGGTGACATAAAACAGATGAAGGATTAGGATATAAATTTTTTTAAGCTCCTAAATCCCTAAGAGAAGTACAGCCCAACAGACTGATGGGGAAAAAGATAAAAATAAGCAATTCACAGAAGACAAATTGCAAGAAAACCAAGCCTAACCTCACTGATGATCAGACAAACACAAGACAAGGATCTATCATTTTTCACTCCAAAAAATCATGTCAAGTGTTGATGAGAATGTGGCATAAAGAACACTTGCACACTGTACAGTCGGAACACCCACATGGAGGGCAGTTTGGCAACAGCTATCAAAATAATATATACCGTAGGACCCAGTAATTCCACTTCTCAGTAACTACTAGAGGGAGGAACATCATGTAATTTACAAAGAACATGGAAA